AAAAAAATGGAGTTTCTTCAGACACACCCAGCTGTTGTGACATTACCATGTTGTTGCTTCCCATGTCAGAAATTAAAGCAGTCACTGTAATTGTTATTTCATCAAGTTTTTTTATGCAGTTGATAAGAATGTCCTTTAATTTGTCGCCGGGATAATTGCTTTTACTCCAGAAATACATTAGCGGCTGCTTCCAATTGTCAGTTATCCCTCTTGTGTGTGTCCCTTTTGTCACCATCATCTTCAAAACCAATAATTTCATCCACGCCAATATCATAATACAGATGACCTTTAATTAATGATTTATATAATGAATTATTATTAATGAATTATATTACCTTTAATTGCCATTTCATCAACACATAGAATACAACGCCTTTGATCCTCCTTTAAATTTTGTATTTTATATTGTAAGCAATCAAAAACTGCGGGATTTATGCCAGGTTTTATATTTATATGTTCTATTTGTTTCTGTAGTATGTTTGTAGGTGTTCGTATCAATTTTTTTAATGAAATTATGTAGTATACATGTTGTAAGTATTACGTAATCAACATTTTCTGCTTTAGCCTGAATTCGTCTGTTATAAATTCGGAATTTTTGTGTCAAAATGCCAAATGCGTTTTCAACAATCCTTCTGGCACGACATAAACGATAATTGAAAATGCGTTTAAGACCATCTAAATCTTTTCCGGGATATGGTCGCATTAAATAAATTTTCAGGGGAAAGGCCTCGTCCCTTACAATTACAAATGGAGCTTCAGTTGCTGTATTTGGCAAAGCAGCATTTTGTGGAATTGACAAACTGTTTTGTTGAAGTGCTTTTCCTAGACGGGAATTTGCAAAAATGCCCCCGTCACTATTTTTTCCGTATGCACCCACATCAACGGCTATGAAGTTGTAGTTTGCATCAACAAGTGCCAACAAAACAACAGAGAACGTCTTCTTATAATTAAAGAACAACGAACCGCTATTATGGGGAGCCTGTATACTAATATGTTTCCCATCTAATGCTCCTAAACAGTTAGGAAAGTTCCAAAGCATATAAAAATTATCAGCAATGGATTTCCACATCTCTTCCGTAGGATTTGGTAGCATTTCAGACATTAGGTTTTCAGTTATGATCCTACATGTATCCACGACTATTTTCTGTACAGTAGCATGTCCCAAGCGGTAGCTAAATGAAATTGTTTTTAGGGAATCTCCTGTAGCTAGATACCTGACCAAACAAACAAACATTATACTTAAAAAGGTAATAATTATTGTTTATATTTTATGATTTTTTAATATTTTTCAGGTTCTTAAAGCGCGAACATTTCCTACATAATTATTTTNTATATCTCTCACAATTGACACATTTGTCTTTCTTAGGGACATGAATTCCTATATTGTACTCCTTTTTTAAAATTCTTTTGAAGCTAGAGTTACTAATAACTTTGCCGGAAATTTCATTGGTATACATAATATACAAATTTTTAAACGTTTTTATATCCGCAGGAAGATACAACTTAGAAGAAGACCCTCTACAATAATGCGAGGGAACAGCTGGTAACCTTTTAATAAAATTTTCAAGGTCCAACTTCTGATCTTTGGTAATTTTATGTGATGGCTCATGCTTACCTCTCAAGTCTTTCACTTCAGAAAATTTTCCCTCTATGGCGTTTCTTATTATTCTCTGCGTAATTCCTAAAGTTGCAATGAAAAATTGTTGACAAACTTTCTCTTGAACTTGTTGACGTAGAAAATGGTGTTCATATGTTAATAATCTTCTTGAATTTTCATTTGGAGTTCTTTTCCGTTTCACTGGAACCAATTTTATGCATCCATTTATATAGGATTTTTGAGATACGCCATTTCCCATTCTCCAAAAGTTATTGAATAACTCCTGTCGCTCTTCAACGGAAAAGAGATTGCAGTTATTCCTACACTTTTTATCCTTATATGGATTTGGTAACATTGTTTTAGGGGGAACTGTTCTTCCTTTGCAGTCTTTGTAACGTTTCCCAATAGATTTTCTTCTTTTATTTGTCGCTTTACTTCCCAAGTCGCTCCTCTTCTTCATCACTATCGTCACTGTCCACCGCAACATTCTTTTCAATGTGCAACTTTTCTTCAGCATCTGACGCCGCTTCATCAGGGGGGATATAGTCTTCATCAGCATCATCACCTGCGAACGGATCATCTTCTTCATCCTCGATATTCTCACTCGCAACAACTGAAACATTGTTTGCATGCGGACGGTATCTTGCCGGTGGATTTTTCATCCAAACAACCCCATCTTTGGATGTGTAAAATTCGCCAACGGGCAATTGTGAATTATTCACAGTAACCGCCTGTCCTTCGACAACTTCTTCCTCTTCTTCATCACTATCGTCACTGTCCACCGCAACATTCTTTTCAATGTGCAACTTTTCTTCAGCATCTGACGCCGCTTCATCAGGGGGGATATAGTCTTCATCAGCATCATCACCTGCGAACGGATCATCTTCTTCATCCTCGATATTCTCACTCGCAACAACTGAAACATTGTTTGCATGCGGACGGTATCTTGCCGGTGGATTTTTCATCCAAACAACCCCATCTTTGGATGTGTAAAATTCGCCAACGGGCAATTGTGAATTATTCACAGTAACCGCCCGTCCTTCGACAACTTCTTCCTCTTCTTCATCACTATCGTCACTGTCCACCGTAACATTCTTCTCAATGTGCAACTTTTCTTCAGCATCGGACGCCGCTTCATCAGGGGGGATATAGTCTTCATCAGCATCATCACCTCCGAACGGATCATCTTCTTCACCCTCGATATTCTCACTCGCAAAAAACGCGGCCAGTCTGTCCTCAGTGAGCTGCTGCAGGTCTCTCGAAAGTCTAGAAAATCTTTCACGCCTATTTAGAACCATATCAAAGTCTTCCCACACTTCGTCGCTTATTCCCGACATTTCAAATGGTACAAAGCAAGAAAACCGAAGAGCACAAAAAACACACAGTAAAAATGCAACACAAACGATGTTTACCCGATCAATGCCAAAAGAAAACTACACACAAGAGTTTTACACATACACATATGGCGGTATACAGTCGCCAAACGTGATCAATCGTTTTTTGGCTATGATGGCTTCCATGCTCATCGTTGAGAGTGATGAAAAATTAAAAATCAGGTTGACGATGATATAATTTTATTATTCGCAATTGGTGCTACAATGTTTCGACAGCTTAGCTATCTTCTTCAGGCACGACGTCAGATATATGAGGACCTTGTGATCCTCACAGGATCAATCGTGTTTGAACACGTTTTGTTGGCAACTTATATACGTTTCCCATACATTGAACGGACGAGGCTCGTGAGGCCCAGTGGGTATAATTAACACCTTGATACATAAACAGATCAGGTTTGTTCTACAAATTCAATGCAAATAATCTTTAGCTATGTTTGTTACGCTTAGAAAACATTGATACCTGAATATTTTGTAAAATTTTTATTTTTTCTGGTGGTTCTAACGCAGGTGTTGATGACGTCGAGCGATCAAGTAATGGTTGAATATATAAAGACGGTACAGCTTGAGATAACAGCCGTGTTTTGTCAGGGCCCAAATACATATCGTTACCAAAATGAAGACTACATACGCGATAGGATTTATAAAGTTTACATGTATCAAATTTCATTAAATCTTGTCGTCCACTATTTTTTAGCCATATCTCATATTTCCTTATCTTTTAGAAATCGAAAAAATTTTATACTCTCGCTTTTCTTTTTCGCCCCATAAAATGTAGATTTACACCTGCTATAGCTGCAAATTACCCCGTCATTTAATGAATGTACAGATTCTCTGTGTTGGCTTTTCCTTGGTCTATTGGCTCCATTAAAATAATGTTTAAACAATAATTACTCAATTTCACTTAGCTTGTAATGAAAGTAAAACAATAACACTAAATAAAAACACTGCGAAAAAAAAACATAATAACGGTCAGAAAAGCGAGGAATTACAAACATAGGATTATTCACCAATTTGAGGTAAACAAAATTACTTGCATGTACAAATTTTAAAATCATAAGTTGTTATTGGTCTAGAGATATTGTGGGTCGACCTAATTGTCGAAACTAGCCGAATATTCATTCGATTATTCTCGTTGGACCTTTAAATTGTTTCATACCTATCTCTGTCTTGAAATGACCCTCTCTTTCTGAGTGCCGCATCTGTATGATCTGTGACCGAACCAGAGTGGCCAGATGAAAATTTTGTTTTTCACTAGAGGTAGCTTTAAAAAATCACCAGATTTCACCAGATCGTCTGACTTTGACTACGCCTCCACTTAAAAAAGACAAATTTCCCTACCTCGGTACACAAATAACTATTATTGTACTTTTTCAGGTTTTCTGTTTACAATTAATAATAAATTTGCGATACCTAGAATATTTATAATACTGGGTTTAATACTACAACGCAATTACAATAAAACAAATTGTTCATAAATAGCTTTTATTTACAATATTAATACAAGTTATACAACAATTTATAGTGCAATCTATATACATGTATAGTGTATACAAACTATGCAACACGAACAAACGTTAACAAAATAAAACTCAAAGTAAGTTAACAGCACAAAACTCAAATACAAATGAAATCGCATACATAAACTACTTGTCTGTGTACATTAACGAAGAATGTTTTTTTAAAACACCATCTGTAACCTCAAAATTAAAATACGACTGATTATTTTGATTAATTTCTCTTTTAGAATGTAATATTCTAGATAATGTTTCAGTGGAAAGCCTATTTCTAATTTTAGTTTTGTCTAAATTAATTGTACTGAAAATGCGCTCAACACAAGCACTGCTGGGTGGTAAAACCAACAGTGCACAAACTGTAAATTTATGCAGTTCTGAATAAAGCTGTGTACCGTCACCTTTCTGTAGATTACAAACATTTTTCGAAAATTGCAAAGTTTCTAGACTTGTATCTATTTCAATACTACTCTGAAGCAATCTCCATTTTTTATCTAAATTATTGATATCTACAACTAAATGAGGGAAAAAACTTGCTACCGGTCCCAATGAATTAACGGATTTGGTATTTTCTGGATCTAAAAATGTCAATAACTTAATTGCTTTTATTTCTGGAGATTTAAAAGGAAACCTTTGATAGAGTTGGTGAGCACTTTCAACATAAAAGTAAACATTTTATTAAAAAATTATGTTGTTCTAAATTAGTAAGAATTCGATTTTGAATACCAATTGCAACTTTTGGTTCACAATAAATGTTGTCTAAAGATTTGTAGTGTTCGGGATTTCGATACTGAATCGTCGTTATATCATTATTATTAATGTAATCTGATTTTATATAGCAGTTTAAAATAGTTTTGTATGTGCTTACCATGAGGTCATAAAGCAAATATGTTTTTGGAGATTCTGCCTGAAATTCTAGATTTAAATCATTAAAAATGGGCAATACATACTCCAAAAATTCCAAATATAATTTAGTGGACGAATTCATCAAAATGGGAAGAATTGCAGATGATGCATGAATTTGGTCAAAATGCTGACTTTGAAAATATAATTTAAGTGCTTCGTATTGTTCCAGAATTCGACAAATTACTTGATTAAGAGACAACCAGCCCCTTTGAGCAGGTTGCAGTAATTTATGTGGTTTAATGTTAAGAAACGTTTGAAATTCTTTAAACTCTGTAAATCTTTTAAAACTATATTGCATGTAAGTAAACACATCACGGACTAATTTTTCAGCTTCAGGAGGTAACTTGCCACAAGCATAAGATGCACATAAAGCTTGCGAATGACACACATTTTATGACAAATAAGTTTGGCACATCTTTCATTAGCAACGTTTTTAATGAATGATGGCCACCCATCATAGCATTAGCCCCATCTGCTGCCATAATTGCACGATTATTATTATTATTTGGAGATACAAATGGTGTACGTGGCTGATTAAAATTTTGAAAAGGATATCTTGGTTGATTTAAATTTGAAGGACCTGGTATTTGATTTGAAATTGTCGGTGCAGGTAAATAAATTGGTTTATAAATTATTTTGAGTTGTTTTTTTATAAAATTTAGATTTTTCAACATATTTTCCTGGCAACATTGCTTTGAATTTTGAAGAATTATTTACGTTTAGTTGTGTACTCTGTTTACATAAATATAACCAATTTTGTCGTTCTAAGACAGATGCCATTGCTATTTCTAAAGTTTGATTCTCATTATTTTCAGGAATAATTTGCATTAAATCTGTGAGTAAGCTATCTTCAGATCTTTGGTCCGAATAAGTTAACTCTAAGCAAGTTTTAATATCATTCCAACTATCTAAATGTCTGGATGCAATTAAATTTTGAGCCTCTCCAACAAATTTTCCTTTGATAATTTTTACTATGAATGAATTGATTGGGTCGGCTAAATTTTGTACGTTAGCATAAGTAGTATTAATCAATCAAGGTAAAATGACAGAATTGCCATCAAAATTTGGAATAAAATGTACTTCTGTTTGTGTTATAGAAGCTCTTGTATAAGGCATGGTTTCAGGTATAATACTTACATTTTCGATTAAATGAATTAAATCCTCAATCTTGATTATTGATAATTCTGTGTTTACAAGATAAAATTTTTCTTTTTACTTACAACCTAAATAAAATTATTAATTTTATTGGTGGGTAATGTTATCCTCTGGCACGGGGTTTTTCTTCTTCGGCACTTAGCAAAAATTGGTTCCTGTCGTCCGTTGTGGAGTGTGTCGGTACTTAGGAAAAAGATAATCTCGTCCGTTGAGGGGTGACACTGGGAAATGTGATCCGCGGGTCTTGATACGCTGGCCAATGTGAGACTCTGGCATCTTGAACTCACTTGAGATTTAGTCGGTTTGCGATGTTTTCTGGCAATCACCACAGGTTGTAAAACTCGCGTTTTGTAGCTCATAAACTTGTGTCAACGATATCCTGCTGACTGCGCCACTTAAGTTTTTGGTTATCAAAAACTTGTTTTTAAAAATTGTTTTAATTTTATTTGGTTTGAAATTAAAGTTGAATTTGATTAATTAACTTTATTTAAAATATTAATACGTTTTGGTTTGCACTGAAACGATCGACACGAATTCTAATTGATAAATGAGTTATTGTTATTAATTAATGCGCCTATTTATACTTTTTTTATCTAATTAAATCCTTGACATTCCTTTGTTCTTCATTAGAGATGTGGACATATAACTTGTATATCCCGACGCTGTTTGGTAAAATAAATTGGTCCTTCCACCGTGCATCTACCATAATTATCTACATCTAATTCATAAACATTAATGCTTAAATTATTAATTAATTCTATTTTAACTATGTCTTTTAAATGAACAGGGAACCAACAGGGACCATAACTTTTTCCCACATGCCTTTCCAAATCATGTAACCTCAAGTAACTTTTATTACATATTGAACATGTGTAGTAGTCGCGACTACTGCCATCATGTGTTACACCTTCGCAAATGACGTTTAAGATTTTTGTAAAGTGAATACCTGATTACAGAACTCACATGAAAACATTGTACACTTTGTTGTAATAAGTAGTGTTGAAGTGATGCATTAGACCGCATAAGCTGGCTTTTATGTGTGTGGGGGGGAAGGTGTTGTTGTCATCATGCGGTTTGCACAACATTTCCAAATATTGCATCACATAAAAGTTAATCTCACATATGTTTTCCGAACAAAATCGTCTAACTAAATCCAATTTATCCTTTGAAAATTTGAATGATGAGGAGGATGAGGCCATCGTAAAATGTATATAATTTTTAAGATTTAAATTATCCAATATATTCAATTTGTATGAAATTAAAACCGTCTTGGATAAAATTTCACGCACATCCTCCAACGTTAGCATTATTGCTATAAAACATCTATTTTTAGATCCCACATCATCACCACCATCTTTATCTTCATGTTAT